AATTCACCAGAGCCAGAGCAGGGAGCAGAGCAGGCAGAAGGACCGAAGTACACTGCTGAGGGGAGCAGCGGGCAGCAGGAGAGGTCTGCGCGCCATGTGGGACCCTCCGTGGCCAGGGAGCAGCTGGGGATTGAACCGGCACTGCAGAGGCTGCGGGCAGCTTTGCAACCCAGCGCTCAACCACTGCGCCACCGGGGAGGCCCTGTGCAATTCTTTTTGCCTTTGGATATACCCCTTGAGAGATATAGAGTCAAATTATGGTAATTTATGTCACTCCAAGTCATTTCTGTGTGGTTAAGCATTTGGAAGCACAGTTAGAGTCATTTTTATTTCATTTTACTTTCAATTTCTAGGGATTCCTTTTTTAATTTAGGTTTGTTTATACTTATGTAAAATATTTACATGATTCCAAAGTTAAATCTACGAAACAAAATATTTTCAAAGTTCAGATTTTATTTCTATCCTTTCCTCTCTATTCCATTCTTTTTGCTATTGCAATGCTTTATTAAATTTTTATAATTTCTTTCATTTGTAGATAAATGATTATACTTTTCTCTTATAATTCTCTACTTTACTTAAAAATATACCCTGGAGATTACACCATAGTAGTAGAGAAATTTCTTATTCCTTACTTGAGCTCTATAATCCTCCATGGGTGAGGGGAATGACATTTTATTTGTCAGTGTTCTAAGGATGGTCATTTGAGTTGCTTCCGGGCTCTTGTGATCATAAACATAGCAACACAGAATAACCCCTTAGGTACATTTCTTCACATTTTTGCCACTGCATCCTGAGATAGATTTCTAGAGGTGAGGTGCTGCCACCTATAGGAATGGCTGAAATTCAGAGATAAAAATGACTATGCTAAATGCTGGTAAGTATGTGGAACTCTTGTACAATACAGTGGGAACGCAAAATGTACAACCACTTTGGAAGACAGTTTGGTAGTACCTTACACAATAATACCCAATCTCTTTCCTGTTTTCTTACTCAAGAGAAAGGAAAAAGTATGGACATCTGTTGAGACTGTATTCACAATTGCCAAAAATTGGATATAGCCTGAGTATCCTTCAATGGATAGGTAAATTATGATACATTTCTTCTTTTTAATATTTATTTATTTATGCATACAAAAGGCCAGAGGTGCATGGGGTAATGGTGAGAGGATTCACCAGAGATAAAGTGGGGGACAGAACTACACTGCTGAGGGGAGCAGCAGGTGAAACAGGAGAGGTCTGCTGTGCCATGCGGGTCAGCTTCCTGGCCTGGGGGTCGAACTCTTGCTGCAGTGGCTGCAGATTGCTTCATAGTGCTGATACTTAACTCCTTGAGCCATCAGGGGGCCCCAAATTGTGATACATTTCTATAATTAAATGCTACCCGGAAATCAGCAGGAACACACGGTCAGTGGACTACTATGCATTTCAAATGCATTATTCTAAGAGAAAGAAACCAGACTTTAAAGTTACATATTCCATGATTCCATTTATATGATATTCTCCAAAAGGCAGTACTGTAGGGCCAAAGAACAGATCAACTTTTTCCAGGAGCTGAGGGGGAGGAGATACTTTGACCACTAAGGAGAAGCATAATGGAATTTCTTGGACTAACAAAACTATTGTACATCTTGACTATCCTGGTAATGACATAACTTTATGTGCCCTGGTAGTGCAGGGGTTAAAGTCTCAACACTATCAAACTGTTGCCAGCCACTCTGGCATGAGTTTGATCCCTAGCCATGGAGCTGAACCACATGGCCCAGCAGGCCTCTCCTGTCTCACTCGCTGCTCCTCTCAGGGGTGTATTTCAGTAAATTCACTCTGTCTCTGGTGAATCTTCTCACACACACCTCCCCCTCCCCACACCTCTGGCCTAGACCCCAGTTCTTATATGCATAAATCTTTTTTTTTAATGCTTGGATTTCACTATATGTAACTTACATCTCATTAAGCCAAGCTTATTTTAAAAAGATAAATGCACAGATAATTTTACTAGTTAGTGCAAAAATTCCTTCTGAGATAGGCTATCCAGGTCCTAATTCCAGTGGATGTTATCTTACATGGCCAAAGGGATTTTGCAACTGTGACTAAGAATCTTGAGGTAGGGAGAGTACCCTGGAGTATCCAGGTAAACCTCACTTGCCATTATTAGTGCCTTTTAAAGGCAGGCAGAGGGAGAGTCTCCCATGGAGAAGGCAATGTGAAGACAGAGCAGAGAGAGTCTTGAAGATGTGTGTTGCTGACCTCAAAGATGAAGGCAGGAACCACTCACTAAAGAACACAGGAGTGAAACTAGGAGCTGGAAAAGGCAAGGAAATCGATGGCACATTCCTAACAACCTCCTTGCTTGTTCTCAGCCCAGTGAGACATTTCAGAACTTTGAGAGAATAATTTGTGTTGTTTTCATTCAACTTTGCAGTCCTTTGTTACTGTAGCTGTTTGAAACTAATACACCCTTCAAAGAGTCTGTACTGGTATTTTTTGCAGTCTCGCCAAAAGTGGAGGTGTGTCCTTTTTTAAGATTGAGGAAATTTTTCCCAGAAATTTTTCCACTTTTAAGTTTTATTTTTACTTATGCATATAAGAACTGGGGTACAGGCCAGCGGTGCAGGGGGTGATTCACCAGAGACAGAGTGGGGAACAGAACAAGCTGATATACTGAAATATGCTGCTGAGGGGAGCAGGGGGCATGACAGGACAGGTCTGCTGCACCATGTGGGTTAGCTCCATGGCAGGGGATCCAACTTGTGCTGTAGTCGTTGCAGATTGCTTCATAGTGCTGATGCTTAATCTCTTGTGCCACCAGGGAGGCCCCCACTTTAGCTTTTAAAAGCATTTTTTAAGAAGAATTACAACAATGCACGTATGCTCTATACAGAAAAGTTGGGAAAGGCAGAAAAGTGTAAGAAAATTTCAATCACCCTACTTTTCCCATTCACCCCTTTAACATCAGTGAGCCAGTGCTGGCACACATTAAGTACTTAAAATGTATTGAATGATCTTCAATCCCATCACCCAGAGATAAAAACCACGACTCTCTATCCTTCCAGCGACATACGTTCATAAGTGGGATCATATTTTACAAACTGTTTTGTAGCCTTTTTCCATTATGTGCATTTTCTCATATGGATAGCTTTTTTTTTTTTACATCATGCTTTCACATTATTTCTTCAAGTGACTGTGCCAATTTTTTTCCATCTACTACTGGCCATTTAGTTGGTTTACAATCCTCTGTTGTTACTAACATTGTGCCGCACATTCTGTATTTTTGCCCAGAGGCATCTATTTCTTTAAGATGCAGTGCTAAAATTGCTAGGTCGTGAGAATAGGCACATTGTAAAATTTCTCATACTGACAAAATGGCACCGCCAATTTACCCTTCTGCTGCCAACTTTCCAAAAGACCCAGGTAAAATAATCTGGTACATTTTATCTTTAATTAGGTGGCACAGACCCATCAACTCCAAACTTCTGCCTTTGACTACAATTAGAACCACATGTCAGTTGCTGAAACATGACGCCCAGAAGCTAACAGGCCTCAGGTTGTGGATCAATAACGTTAGGGGCAGAAAAGGCTCCCACACCCCCCAAGGGGAGCACAGTGGCCTTTCTGCACTTCCAAGTCGCAGCTGCAGCCGGGGCTGGGGTCAGCGTCTCCTGTCAAGGACTAGATCCGACCCGGCAGGACTGGGGGGTCCGGGAAGTCCTCCCCTTCCTAATCAACCTTGTCGCGGGCTTTCCTCAGGGGCTTCGCGAGTCTTTGGCGTTCCCCGTGGGTACGAAAGAAGAAACGAAATTAACTCAAAACCTACACGCTTTTGTCAGGAAACCGAAATACTGCAAATCTTATGCCCAGCGAGTATTCCAGGGGTGGAAACACTGGGAATAACTGAAGCCCAGAGTCTGGAATGGGCCCGGGGCAGAGCACGGCCCTATTGCTTCCCTCCCATCCCTCCAGCTGGGACAGAGACGGGGCGCGTGGATGGGACATGGATGGGACATGGAGGGGACACAGAGGGGACACAGAGGGGACATAGAGGGGGCACAGAGGGGACACCACACGGGGGCGCGCGGCGACCCGGCCCGGGTGCTCCCCCGCGCACGGGCACAGAGGACCGGCCCCCGAGGCAGACAAATAAAAGGGGCTTCCTGACACGGGGAGAAGCGGGGAACGACTCATGGGAGAGGTGCGGGCCGCCGAGGTCGGCTCCCGGGCAGGGCCTGAGCCCCGAGGCCCAGCTCCCGCCTCCCGCGCCCCTGCGGGCTGAGGCCGCACCCCCGCTCCGCGCCCCCCGCCGGCGCCGAACCCCTCAGGACGGCCCGGTCGGCCCTACAGCCCGCCGAGCACAGAGCGGGGCGCGCGGAGGCGGGGAGGGAAGAAGACGAGGGGCCGCATCAGCCCTTCCCCCAGTTCCACGGGGCCCCCCGGCTCCCGCGCCCCGGGCCCGGCCGGCGCCCCCCGGCAGCCGCCGCGCCCCGCGGGGGCGCAGACAGGGGTGGGGAGCCCGGCGCCTCCCCACGCATCCGCCGAGCAGCGACGCCGCCTTCAGGACACAGAGGCCCCGCCGGTGCGCGCACCCTCAAATCCGACTCAAAAGCCAAGGTGCTGCCCCAACTTTGCGCCTCGCAGAGAACCGTGCGCCCGAGGCCCCCACCCGCCCTGGCGGGGGGCGCAGCCGGCCTGGGAAGGGACCTACTACGCATGCGCCGCCGGCCGCCGCCGGCCGGGGAGCTACTACGCATGCCCCGTCGGGTGCCGCGGCGGGGGGCGCCGCCGGCCGGGGAGCCACTACGCATGCCCCGTCGGGAGCCGCGGCGGGGGCGCCGCCGGCCGGGGAGCCACTGCGCATGCCCCGTCGGCGCGCAGCCTCCCGGCGCCAGGGGGCGCGCTCGCCTCGCCGGCCGCCGCCCCGCCCCGCCCCGCCCCGCCCCGCCCCGCCCCCGGGCGGTTGCGGTTTGAATCCGCGGCGCGCCGCGGCCGACGCGCACACCCTCGCCGGGAATGGACAGCCCGGCCCCCGGCGCTCGGTGCCCGCTGCAGGAGCAGCGCGCCCGGTGGGCGCGGAAGCGAGCCCGCGCCGCGCGGGAGCTGCTGGAGACCGAGCGGCGCTACCAGGAGCAGCTGGGGCTGGTGGCCACGGTGCGAGCCCGCACGCCTGCCGTGGGGGGCGGGACCTTGGGGTGCGGGAGGGTCTCAGCGAGGTCGGTGACCCCCAGAATGGGGGATCTTGGTTTGTCGCCCGCATGTAGGGAGCCCGGGTTGACCTTTCGGTTGTAGCCGCGCCTGGGCCTTAGCCTCCTTCTCCTGCACGCCCTACGCCCGTCTTCTCCCTCCACAGTACTTCGTGGGGATTCTGAGGGCCAAGGGCACCCTGACACCCCCGGAGAGCCAGGCTCTGTTTGGGCCCTGGGAGCGCATCTACGGCGCCAGCCGGTGAGTGGAGGGGCGCGAGGATTGGGGAGCAGGGGTGCTGGCCGCAGGCCTGCGCGGGGCAGCGTGGGGGACCCCCGGGCGCCCGTGCAGAGTCTGCCTTTCCCTCCCCCGAGGCCTCGGCCCGGGGCCAGGCCGCCCCAGTTCTCCGCCGGTGTACTGGGGAGCCAGTGCTCCAGGCCAGGGTTGTGGGGATTAAATGAGGTGGCGCTCGCAGATTCTTGTGCTGCCCTTTTATGATCCTCACGCAGAGAGCTGCTTCCCCACCTCGAAGAAGGGCTGTGGGGCCGCGGGCTGGAGGGCTTTTGCCCCCACCTGGAGCTCTACGTACAATTTGCTGCCAACGCAGAGAGGGCCCAGACCACCCTACAGGTAACCCGAAGGTGACTCGGGTTCCCCTTCTCTTCCTCTCTTGCCCTAATACGTTTCCACCTCGCCTGGAGACCCAAACTTCTCTAGTGTTGTTCCTGCACTTCCAGGGCCTCTGGGTCCCGGCTGTATGCTAAGCTCCCTGTAGGGAGACAGCTGCTCTCAGGAGCACACAGCTTCCTGAGCCCTGTGTGCACAGATGAATACCATATAAAGAGTGGCTTCTCTCAAGGCCGCAAACCCTCACCCCTCCTCTAGGAACTACTAAAGAAAAGCAAACGTTTCAGGAGGTGTGTGCGGCTTCAGGAAGGCCGCCCTGAGTTTGGGGGCCTTCAGCTCCAGGACCTGCTCCCTCTGCCTCTGGAGAGGCTCCAGCAGTGAGTGACTCAGCCATCTTCCCTTTTCTGAGTGTATGACTGCTGCCCTCAGCTTTGTGGGGCTGCATGGGGTCTGTCCCAGTGCCTCTCTCCTGGGACAAACTGCTCTTGAAATCCTGCGTGAACTCACTGGAGTACCCAGGGCCCACAGCCTCTTAGCTGGGACTGGGGAACTCTGCATTAAAGTTACAGGGCCCATAATAGGGCTGTGACAGGTATCAAGAAGAGTTTATTGAGATTAGAGCCTGGCCTACCTTAGGATTTCTGCTCCTGCGGATGAGTCAAGAGCGTATATAGTAAGGTTGTCTGTGGCATCCTCCGTGGGTGGGTTAACTTTAATCTTGGGATTTAGGCTCCGGAACTGTGGTCAGCGCACCCCATACTCTTCGTTGTGGAATGGACGAGGGCATGTGGCCTGTATTCTATGTGACAGGAATCCGGTAGCCAGGAGCAGATCTCTCTGGGCCATGCAACCAAATAATACATAGGGGTTATATGTCAGGCAGAGGGTTTTTTTATTTTACTTATTTACTGACTTGCCACTTAGATTACATAACTACAATTCTCGGAGTACAGTTTCACACCTCCATATAGGACTCTGCCACACTCACCAAAGCAGAGGGAGTTTCACCTGACACTGCTTCCCTTCATTGACTTCCTGCTGTCTAATTCCAGGTATGAGACTCTTGTTGTTGCTTTGGCTGAGAACACAGGCCCCAGCAGCCCTGACCACCAGCAGCTGACACGTATGTTCTTACTCCTCCAAAATTCAGGCGGGAGGCCGTCACTCCTGTTTCTGGTTCTCTCTTCCAACAGCTCTCCCATCTCGTGTCTGTTGGGCCCCAGTCTCCCACTGTCTGGTGTCGCTATTGCTCTACCTACTCTTTAGAAGTTGAACCCTGACCTCTGTAAACAGCCCATCATTCACCACTGCCAGTCACGCGAAGTCACAGTGGTGCTGGAAGTGGGGTGGGGCGTGTCGTTCTAGGGGCTGCCCGGCTGATAAGTGAGACTGCCCAGAGGGTCCACACCATAGGTCAGAAACAGAAGAATGACCAGCACCTCCGGCGTGTCCAGGCTCTGCTCGGTGGACGCCACGCAAAGGGACTTACCTCAGGTATTGTGGCACATCTTTCTCAATCCTCAAACACTGCTTTTGTTGCCCCACTTCTTCTATATTGCCAGCACATACCCTCTGTTTCTCCACTTCCCCTTCTCTTCCTGTGGATCGTGGTCCTGGAGTTGTGCCAGAGTAACAGCTCTCCCATCCTCTAGGTCGCTGGTTCCTACGCCAGGGGTGGCTATTGGTGGTGCCTCCCCGTGGGGAGCCTCGACCCCGAATGTTCTTCCTCTTCTCTGATGTGCTCCTCATGGCCAAGCCTCGCCCCCCATTGCACCTGCTGCAGAGCGGCACATTTGCCTGCCGGGCCCTCTACCCCATGTCCCAGTGTCAACTCCGCAGGGTCTTTGGCCACTCAGGAGGCCCTTGTGGTGGACTGCTCAGTGTAAGTTACGGGGGAGTCCGGGGTAAGGCAAGGGAGGCCCCAAATGTACCTTATGTGGCTATGTACCTGTTTATCTCCTTGGCCTGGGCCCTTCCATAGGAACTGAGCCTTCTACGTGGAGAGCAGGTAACTGGGCTCGGGCTTCATACAACATAGTTCTCCCGGCCCTAAGTACCTCCTTGCAGACAGCTCTGGCCTTTGACCCCTCTGAGCCATGTACTAAAATGTGGTCTCTCCCTAGCTGTCCTTTCCCCACGAGAAGCTCCTGCTTATGTCCACAGACCAGGAGGAGCTGTTGCGCTGGTACCACAGCCTGACTGTGGCCATCAGGTAAACTGTTCCCTCAGGAAGAACGCTGGATGCAGCCCATGAGCTGGGAGTGAGCAGTTCTGATGTCGTCATGTCCTGCATGCCCGGCCCCCCTCCCAAAGGATGGGTCTGAGTAGTGGACTCTTGCCAGTGCCTGAACTGACCTTCTTCTCTCCACAGCAGCCAGAAGAACTAGAAGAATCTTACAAATTCCAGAATCCAGGATACTTCAGGGATAGGTCAGAGTCAGGAGCACAAAGGAATCTTCAGTATTAAACAAAACACAGAACGCTTCACGGTTTGAAAAAGGCCTTTTATGTTTGTGTGAGACCAAGCCACACCGGGTCGTTGGACCAGCTCTTTAAAGAATCAGGAAACTGAGTCTACCCAAGTGAACCTCCGCTGAGCCAGCCTCTCCAACACAGATCAGGGCCTTGGATGAGAGACTCGGTACTGGGTGTATGGCCAGTCATGTATCAAGGTTGCAACTTTGGAATGTAGCTACTTTCATTTTGTATATTGTTTCTCCCGCTTATTGTCCCACTGTTTTTAGTAAAGTTTTTTTTTTTTTGAAAGACCTTTCTCTCAGCTATGCCTTATGAAAGAAGGGATTTTTGTGCCCTGACGACTGGCCTGCGGGCCTCAGGAACACAGGGAAGGCCGCAGCTCCCTCTAGCTTCTGAGCTCTCACACGGGAAGGCAGCCTCTTTTTGTCCTAATAAGGGAAGTTTTTCAAGAAGCCCCAGTTGTTCGGAGGCACCTAGTATGGGTGTGTGTGTCACCAGCCGGAGTGGAAAAAGCACACGGGAGCATCCAGTCACAAGAACAGACTTTGTTTTACTAAACTTTCAGCTGCCGTCCCTCCTTTCCAGCAGGGGTGGGGGCTGGGGCCCTTTGCCCTCGCCCTGCTGTATCTTCTCCTGAGTCCCTGCTCCACTTCCCAGGGAGGAGCCTGGTTCCTTGTCTCTGTGCTCCAGTTCAGGGGCTCCTCCCAGGACTGACTGTTGGCAGCCTCCTCGTCCTCTATACATAAGGCCTCGGGAAAGGGGCTGCTGCATTCTGTGAGGGGAGATATCAAGTATGTTCCAATTTCAGAGACGCTGTCTACCTCCACCAGAGTCTCTCCTCCCAATCCTTTACCTGGTTCTAGAACCTCTACACCCTTGTCTGGCTTGTTCTCTTGCAGCAGCTGGTGGATGGTCTGTAGCTTCATGTTGAGAAGCTCCTGCTGGGCTCCAGCCAGGGTAGTCACACTGCAGAAATGTCCACTGATTGGCTGCCCAATCTGTGTCCCCACCTCTCCCACCTAGCACAAGCTCCCTTGGCCACGGGGTCACTGCTCCCCTTACCGTTCAAACAGGGGGTCCAGCTGGGCCATCAGATTGTTTAGGTGTTGCTCTGTCTGGGCCAGTTGTTGTGTCAATTGAGCCAGCTGTTGCTCTAGGGATCGGAGAAAAGGAGAGCAATGGTACTTGCCTTCTGCTCCCCCCTGACCCCCACCATGTATACGCTTCTGCAAAACCCACCGGACTGTAATGATTCCTTTTTGTTCGCCTCCTCTTGGAGAACAGTAGCCTCATCCTTCCCCTGCTGTGGAAGAAGAGAGGGACGGTGCTGCAGCAGCAAGGTGCTCCATCATCGCTGTCTCCAAAGCCAGCGAGGGGAGGTGGATAACCGGAGGCAGGAAAAGCTATGGGTTTCTGCCTCAGAGAATCCCAGTCACATCTAGTCAACTCCTCACCCAGGACATGAAGCAACAGGTCACCTCGTCCCCACTCAACACCTCCAAGAATGAGCAACTGCCCGGTTTGATAAAACTCTGGTTAATTTATATAAAAAGTGAAAAACTGGGCCTCCCTGGTGGCTCAGAGGTTAAGTCTCAGCACTCTCACCACAATGGCCTGAGTTCCTTCCATCCCCAGCCAGGGAGCTAACCCACACATGGCACAGCAGACCTCTCCTGTCTCGCCTGCTGCTCCTCTCAGCAGTGTATTTCAGTGGATCTGCCTGTTCTGCCCCCCATTCTGTGTCTGGTGAATCCTCTCACCCCTCCCTCCCCCACCTCTGGCCTGTACCCCAGTTCTTGGATGCAAAATTAAATCTTAAAAAAAAAAGCGAAAAGCTGTCCTTCATGTATCTCCCATAGTGCTGACTAGAGCCTTCCAACATCATGTTTTCTTTAAAAAAAGATTTAGTTATTTTTGCATACAAGAGCTGGGGCACAGGCCAGAGATGCGGGGTGGGTGGGGTGGGGCATCCACCAGAGACAGTGGGGAGCAGAACAGGCAGACTGACTGAAGTACACTGCTGAGGGGAAGACAGGAGAGGTCTGCTGTGCCATGTGGGTAGCTCCCTGGCAGGGGATAGAACTTGTGCTGCAGAGGCTGCGGACAGCTTCACAGTGCTGACGCTTAACCCCTTGCACCACCAGGGAGGCCCCAACATCATGTCTTTTCAACAGGAGTTTGAGGACAATGATCATTCCCTGCGCCCCACCCTATTACCCATGTCTTCTCTGGTTCAGTATCTTTTTCAGTCAGTGCCGTTTGAAAGTTCTTTCGCTCCTTTACCAAGATGCAGTACTCAAGTGCCCTGAGAGAATAAAATTCTCTGAGTCTGATCAGAAGATAAAGCACAATACCTTGTTCCTAGACTTGAACTGGGAAGAGAGCGGTCAACTCACACAGCTGAATTTTATTAGCCAAATAGTAAACTGCTGCTAAGGTGAGTTTCTTTCAGACTGTACTCGGATGCAAGAATAGAAATTATTGAAACAACCTAAAGTCTATTAATGAACGGGAAAGAAAATACGGCATGTGTACTCATGGAATACTGCCCAACCATTAAACAGAAGGAAACCTGCCATTTGTGACAACATGGATGAACCCTGAGGGCATGTGCTACCTGAAACCAGAAAGACATTATGTTCTCACGTGTCTAAAAACAAAAAGAACGCCACTCAGTTTGGTTGCTACAAGAGGAAGGTGGCGCAGAATAGGGAAAAGGTACTGACTTCCAGTTATGAAATGTCAGAGAGATGTAAAGTACAGCCGTGACTACAGCTGATACACTACTGCATATCTGAAACTGGCTGAGAGTAAATCTTAGAAGTTCTCACCAAAAGAAGAAAATGTAACTTTATAGTGAAATAAGTTTACACTTACTGTTATGATTTCACAATATTTACAAATAACAAATCACGTTGTACACCTGAAAAAATGTCAGTTATACCTGAATTGAAAAAACAAAAACCTATCTATCCTTGTTAAATTTCACCATTAAGAATCTCATCCCAGGGCCTTTCTGGGGGTGCAGTGGCTTGAGCACAGTGCTGTGAGGCTGTCCACAGCCTCTGCAGCGCGGGTTCAACCCTGGGGCAGCCAGGGAGATACCCACATGGCACAGCAGACCTCTCCTGTCTCACCAGCCAGCTATTCCTCTCAGCAGTGTATTTTGGTCTGTCTGCCTATTCTGTTCCCCACTCTGTCTCTGGTGAATCTTCTGACCCTCCCACACCTCTGACCTGTACCTCAGTTCTTGTCTAAATAAATAAATCTTAAAAAAAAATTTTCAACCTACTTCAATTACATCACTGTTTAAAAAAAAAAAATGTCGTCCTAGTCTGTCAAGTCTAGTTGGGATCAGGATTAGTTATCCCATCTAGTTTGATCACCTTCAAATTAGTTCAACTATTTCCTAAGGCAAGTAAGTGATTGGACCAGGGCTGAAGTTATAGACAGCCCTGGAAAATGCTACTTTTATTTTAACAGTTTCTACCCATTCCACTGTCCACATTTCAGGGCATCCTTCTCAAGGACATGATCTTGCTCGGGACCTTGAACTCAAAAAAAATACTATGACTACAACAATCACTCTCTGGGGCCAACTTGGAAATATCAGAAACCCAGTTTTTGTAATACAGGCACTGGCTGCACTCAATCCCAGCTCCCCCGCTCCCCTAGATGACCGTGAGCAAACGTCAATCTTCGCTGGCTGGGGGGGCGGGGGGGTGTTAAATGTGATGGTCACTATTTACAAATGACCACGCGCCCGCCACACTCATCACCTCGCCGGATGCTCAAAACAGCCCCACAGGTTGGCCATTCAAGGCACTGTCTTCACGCCAGACTGACGAGAGGTGGCGTCAGGTTCTCGGTGCCCAGCGCCCGCGGGAGGCTCAGGCCCGGGCACCCCCACCCCGGCTGGTCCCGCACCTGCAAACACTTGTACAGCACAAAAGCCACGACGGCTGCGGTGTACAGCGCCCCCAGGGGCAGTGCCCCGGCCCGGGCCCGCTCGTGCTGGTCCTGGAGCGGCTGCCGCCGCCGGGGTTCAGCGACCGCAGGGCCGGCCTGGGTGGGGTCCCCTGCGGAGGAGGCAGAGGCGGGTCATTAGGGCCGGGGCCTGGGGCCAGCGGGCATTCCGAGCCCCCCTCTAGCGACCCTCGCTTGGTACCTGGGTGTGCCTGGAGGTCGGGGCTGGGGAGGACTCCGAGGACCTCGGGCAGCGCAGACACCAGCAGCAGCCCCAGCACCCCGCGGAGCGAGAGCGCGCTCGCCATCGCGGGCCCACAGCCCCTGCGCGCGGCGGGCGCCGGAGACTGGGGGGCCCGCCGTCCCAGTGCGCATGCGTAGGCGCGCCCCCAGCGCGTCCCGCTGCGCGCCTCCCCGGAAGGCGACGCCCACTTCTTGTGTGGGCAGGACCAGGTCTTATTTGCATAGGCTGTTACCCAGCGTTCCTAAGATAATTAATTTCTCAACTATTTAGGTATTCTATTAGTGGAATGCCTCCAGAGTGCCACAGTCTTAAAATATTAGGCCGAATAATCGTTTATTTTTAATTTCTTACACCACCAACGACCTCACCCTGATCAAAAGGTAAATTTGGTGACAGAGCTATAAAAAGGCCTCACGCGCGCGCTGAAGCGCAGTCCGTGCTGAAGGCCTGTTTCCTAGGCTACAGACGGGGGACTTGTTCCTTACTTCCGCCTAGGGGAAAGTCCCCGGACCTCCGGCAGAGAGTGCCGCGTGCGCACGCGCGCCGACGTCCCTGCGTCTCACGCTTACAGGCCGCCAAGAGGCGACCCCGCGCTGCTGCGGGCGAGCTGAGCGGCGTGTAGCAGGGGCGTCATCCGTCAGCTGTCATAGTTACGCAGGCAGCGCGCCCCCGGGCGCGCCAACCACACGGGGCTCATTCTCAGCGCGGCTGCTTTTTAGAAAGCTCCCGGCTTCTCTTGATTACGTAACGCCCCCACAATGGCCCAATACACCCCTGAACTACTTCCACTCTTCTGTGGCCTCAAAGGGCCCGAGGTCGGGCCACCTGTCACCTTCGAATGCCAATAAAGTAGAGACGGGAATCGAGTCTTTAAGGTGTGCTTTATCTAAAAAGCCGGTAATCTGGAAGAAGGGCGTTAACACCCCAAAGAAAACGCCTTAACTTTGCATTTCCAGCTGGCTTTTTATAGTGAGGTGAACAAAGACAGTGCAGCAGTGAGCTGGCCTCACTGTTGCCAGGAGATTGTGCTGTCCGGCCCCGCAGCTCCTTATCGCCCTCCTGGACACCCGGCCTCAGGCGCCTCCCACGGTGCTGGGGCTGGTCTGCAGACAGCACCGGCTCCCCGCACGCCCCAGAGCAGACAGGCCATAAGCAATAATGCGTTGCAGATTTCCTGCTATACCATGCTTAGTGACCCACCCCATGTCCTCCCTTCCAGGCCCTGTGCCATTTTATTACAGTCCCCTCGTCCTGAAATGGCTCCTTCGCCCCACTCTGTCCAATGGGCAATTGTCTATATTAGCCTCCATTTACTGTGTAACAATAGGCTATGGGCTCTGCCTGGTCTAGACCCTGCCTCTCCTTCTGGAAAGCGGAACAGTTTTGACCAACTTAGTCTCTCTGTGCCTCAGTCTCTACGCTGAAGAATGGCGATAATGATAGCACATATGTGCCTCACAGAGTCGTTATGAAAACTAAATGGGATAATTAAGTAGCGCTTAGAACCATGCCCAGCTATTAGTGATTTTGACTCAAATACTTACTAAGAGCCAGGCACTTGAAATTATATTAACTCTCTCCCAGACGTTCCAGTGCCTTTCCCCTCCTGCACAGCTGACTTCTACACCACCTTCAGCTCTTGTGTTTCTTTCATTCAGAACTCTTCTAATTTTTTTAAATATGTGTTTTTATTTATTAATACATACAAGAGCTGAGGTGTAGGCCAGAGGTGCAGGGTGTGTGCGTGTGTGTGTGTGAGAGAAGATTCACCAGAGACACAGTGGGGAGCAGAACAGGTGGATTGACTGGGCCAAGGATCCAACTCATGTCTCTGGCGATAGCTTGATAGCCTAAGACTTTAACCCCTGCACCACCAGTGAGGCCCCCTCCTAATTTTTTCACTAGTGCAGTTGTACTTTCTTCAATACCATTGGTATCTACCGATTATATTATAACAAAACTGAAAAATATTTTAATTAAAATCAAGCAATTAAAACTAGCTATAGAAAGAAAATTACAGGACTGTAAATTCCACAAGAGTAGAGGCTATATCAGTTTTTTGTTTTTTTTTTTTTTACCAGTTTGTTCCTAGATTCTAGTACAACACCTGGTACTAGCAGTCACTTAATGAATCATTGTTGAATGAAAGTAATGAATGTTCAGACAACCCTAAATGTAAATATAACTAAGCTGCTTTCAAGAATGAGGAAGTTAAGGTTCAGGAAGATTAAGTAAGTCATTAATCAGGTAAGAGTCATTGCGATATCCCAGCCTTTCTCTATCTGTCTCCAAATCACCTACATCAAATCATCTCAAGCAGCTCTCCACCCTGCCCACCTCTGACTATGCAGGTGTCTCTCTTATTTCCTTTCCTTTTCCTGAAGGTTTGTCCACATGAGGGAACAGTTGATTCTGAATTTTGATGGGGAATCTGTATTTTGAAATTCACCTCTCCCCTACTCATCTTCTCATTCTCTCTATTCCTTTTGAAACTCTCACAGTTTAAAAATCCTGTGTACACTAGATTACTTTGCTTTTATGGTCATGGGTGGACACAAACCCTGAGTTGGCAACATTGGCTCTTCTTCTTAACATTTGGGGTCCTTGGGCATCCCTCATTTTTGCCTGGTATCAGATCTGGTATTTTTGTTGTTGTTTTTTCAAAAGAATCAACAAACCGAGATTTTAAAAATAAAAAATCTCTTTTTAACACTGACAAGGAATCCTTGCAATACTGAACATATCTGTCATTCAAGTGGACCATTAAAAAAGTCCCCCTTGGGCCTCCCTGGTGGTGCAGGGGTTAAAGTCTCAGCGCTACCAAGCTATCACCAGCCACTGTGGCATCAGTTAGATCCCTGATCAGGGAGCTGACCCACATAGCTCAGCAGACCTCTTCTGTCTCGCCTGCTGCTCCCCTCAGCAGTGTATATTGGTAGATCCACCTGTTCTGCTCTCCACTCTCTGGTGAATCCTCTCACCACCACCCCCCGTTCCTGCAATTCTGGCCTATACCCCAGTTCTTGTATTCATAAATACATAAAATAAATATTTTTAAAAAGTCATCCTCTATATGCCAAAATTATTTTTAGTAAATAGTAACAAATAGTACTGACCAGAAAAAAATTGCAGTGAATTATTTCTTTTATTGAATTCTGCAGATATAATCATACCAGTTTAAAAATAAGCAGTTAAAATTAAAAATTAAATAAACATACCAAAAAAGAAAGGAAAAAGTAATGAGTTTATAGTAAAATACATTATTGTACTTTTTTAAAAAAAGATTTATTTATCTATGCATACAAGAGCTGGGGTACAGGCCAGAGGTATGGGGGTGAGAGGATTCACCAGAGACAGAGTGGGGAACAGAACAGGCAGATTGACCGAAGTACTCTGTTGAGGGGAGCAGCTGGTGAGTCAGGAGAGGTCTGCTGTGCCATGTGGGTTGCTTCTTGGCCGGCCGGGGATCGAACTCTTGCTGCAGTGGCAATGGAAAGCTTCATAGATTGCATCTTAACCCCTTACGCCAGCAGGGAGGCCCCCTACATTATTGTACTTTTTAAGAAAAAGGGCCCGGCCTCCCTGGTGGCACAGGGGTTAAAGACAGTGCTATCAAGAAAAGGGGCAAAGAACTTATACCTACATATTGATACCCTAGTCTCCCAGCCAGAAATGGATCCCAGGCTGCAGTGGCAGCGCTGAGTCCTAGTCACTAACCCACTGTGGGCTGGTGTCTAACCAAGCCGCAGCAGGACCTTCATTGACTTTCAGGCAAGCAAGCGAAAAGAAGCAACTTTGTTTAGAGAAATAGATATAAGGAAAAGTTTATTAGGGAGAAAACAAACAAACAAAGTGGGACTTCCAAAGCCTTTGGTGATGCAAGGGGTAAAGACACAGCACTATGAAGCTATCCACAGCCACTGCAGCATGAGTTCGATCCCGGCCAGGGAGGTGACCCACATGGGGCAGCAGACCTCTCCTAACTCACCAGTGGCTCCCCTCAGCAGTGTATTTCAGTCAATCCACCTGTCCTGTTCCCCACTCTGTCTCTGGTGAATTCTCTCACCCCCCACACCACTGGCCTGTACCCCAGTTCTTGTATGTATAAATCAATACATATTTTTTAAAAATAGATATACACTGCTGAGGGGAGCAGTGGGCAAGACCGGAGAGTTCTGCTGCATCATATGTGGGTCAGCTCCCTGGCTGGGGATAGAACTCAGACCTCAGGAATCATACACAGTGTGATAGCTGTGATAGCGCTCCCACCAGGGAGGCCCTTATTATTGATTTTAATTCTAGTGGTTAAATGCAGGAATATACAATATCATAGGGGTTGGGGACAGAAATTGTGCCCAAAGCAAACTTGAACAATTTCAAACCTTTGAGAAGTAATTCTAGGCATAGACACATATAGATGAATTTGGTCATGTCAGGGGCTGGTTATATAACTGGGAGTTCTCCAGACACACTTCATATAGGTAACAGTAATTTTTTTTTAAGATTTATTTATTTATTTATTTATTTATTTATTTATTTATTTATTTATTTATTTATTTATACAAGAACAGGGGTACAGGCCAGATAAGCGGGAGGGTGAGAGGATTTACCAGAGACAGAGCAGGAAACAGAACAGTATTTTTAAAGGAGATGTAATAGCAATGCACTAATTTAAAACTTATATGTTGGGCCTCCCCGGTGGCGCAGCGGTTGAGCGCTGGGTTGCGAAGCTGCCCGAAGCCTCTGCGACGTCGGTTCGATCCCGGCTGCTTCCTGGTCACCAGAGGAGGATCCCACATGGCGCACAGACCTCTCCTGCCGCCCGCTGCTCCCCTCAGCAGTGTACCTCGGTCCTTCTGCCTGCTCTGCTCCCTGCTCTGGCTCTGGTGAATTCTCTCACCCTCCCGCGCTTCTGACTGTACCCAGAATAAATAAATAAATAAATCTTTAAAAAAAAAAAAAACTTATGTTATTAAAATTCATCAGTAACCACAGCAATTTAGAACTTAGGACCATGGATAGTTTTTCAGGGAATAGTATTTGTCAGTAACATGTTTTAGAATTGCTGAGACACGGTGATAATAAAAAGGAGACTGATTTTTAGTTGCTGGTGTTTTAAAATTCTCTACAGATAATACCCCCTTTATTGCCTGCAAATGGGAGACACGCCCTGTCCTGCCATCCACATCCTCAGCAATGACTAATTTTTTTTAAAGGGGAGGATTTAAGTTTTATTTATTTATTTATACAAGAACCAGGGTACAGGCCAGATGCACAGGAGGGTGAGAGGATTCACCAGAGCCAGAGCGGGGATCAGAACAGGCAGATTGACAAAATACATTGCTGAGGGGAGCAGCGGGCGCAACAGGAGAGGACTGCCACCCCATGTGAGACCCTCGCCGGCCTGCAGGGACGGAACTGGCGCTGCAGAGGCTGCGGACAGCTCCACAGCGCTGTGCTCAACCGCCTGAGCCGCCAAGGGAGGCCCAGCAATGACTAATTTTTTTAAAGACATTGAATGTGCTAGACAAAACCCATCTCTGACCCTTGGTGTGAGGCTTGTATGTGAAACTTTAATCCTTCCCACATCAATAGCCTCCTGTGTGGTTGGGCCTTCCGGGCAGGAACAACAGTGCCTGAGGGGAGTGAGTGCAAAGACAGGCTCCATTTCCCAGCATAGTACTGGGACAGAGGTTTCCTTAAATCAACTACTTTTTGTAAAAAAAATTATTTATTTATGCATACAAAAACTGGGGTGTAGGCCAGAGGTGTGGTGGGTGAGAGGATTCACCAGAGACAGAGTCCAGAGCAAAACAGGCAGACTGCCTGAAATACACTGCTGAGGGGAGCAGTGGGCAAGACAGGAGAGGTCTGCTGCACCATGTGCATATCTCCCTGGCCGGGGATCGAACTTGTGCTGCAGTGGCTGTAGACAGCTTCATAGGTTGCACCTTAACCCCTTGTGCCACCAGGGAGGCCCGAGAGTGACAGTTCTGAGAAAGAGTTTGGATGAAGTGACTGTGGGAGCAGGGGTGGGGTGGGTCTAACTTCCTCTAGACTCCAAACTATTATACCAATAATAATAATAATAATGACAGTGGTCCTCTTAACATTCTCCAAAGGTCAGCCTGGGATCTGGCCTGTGCCCCAGTTTTTAAAAAATTAATTAAAATAAAAATTTAAAAAAAGAACTGTCACTCTCAATAATTAGTTGATTTAGGGCCTCCCTGGTGGCGCAGGGGTTAAGACAGGAGAAAAACTCTTTCACAGGACTTGGAATGGGAGAGAAAAGGTAGATACCGGGCGGCAGAAGGGAATCATGTCAGAAGACCTCGCTTCCTTGTCTGACCTCAGGCCACTTTAGCCTGCGCAGTTTTCATGGACTCACCTGAGCAATGCCACAGCAAAGGCAGGCCCGCCTGTTTCTGCTCTGACTGAGGGGGTACGGGGCCTTGGGGGGCCGGAAGCTTGGGAGCTTTGGGGTGGTGCAGGTGCAGGCATAGGGCGGTGTCTTTGTTCTATCATTCACCCCCCACCCCTCCCATCTCCTCCCCGGAAACCAGTGACTTTGCCACTACCAGTATTGGGGATGCTGAACTGTGGGGGCCCAGCCCAGGGAGGAGTGGGAGTAAGGGGGGCTGTGGCAGCTGTGAGGTCATGCCAGAGGCTGACCCCTTGCTCCCCCATCAGCAGTCATGAGCTGTTGTAACTGTACGAGTTACAATCAATGCAAAGAGGAGCTACTACTCATTCCGGGTGAGCTGGGCGGGGCAGGGGCAGGGGCAGAAGGGGTCACGTGGCTTCTGTCCCACCGGCTGGGACCTGAAGGGTTAGGCTGGGCAGGAATGAACCCCCCCACCCCATCCTCTCTTTTCTACAGGAATCCCCAAAATGTGCCTTGCCTGGGGCTTGTGGGCCCTTTTAGGGGTTGTGACGCTGCTGCTGCTTCTCTCACTGGCGGCACACTTGTCCCGCTGGACTCGCACCAGGGGCAGGAGCCCTCCGGGACAGAACCGGTGAGTGCGGGACAGCAGGTGACAGGCGGAGCGTTCCCTTGTAGCTAGGAACCCCACTCACCCCCTAAACTCTGCCTTGCAGCTCCGGAGGCTCTGCGGAAGAGGTGCCGCTGTATGGGAACCTTCATTATCTGCAGACAGGTAGGAAGCTGGCCGAGGGGAGCGGCACAAGGGCCAGGTCCAGGGTGGGTGGGATGAGGGGGTGCAGGAGGAACAAGAAGTGACCAAATTTCTGTTCCCTCTCCAGCACGGCTGTCTCAAGAACCTCGGCCGGACCAGCAGGATCCAACACGTGGAGGCCCTGCCAGGGTGAGTCGGTAGTGGCTGAGGGACAGGGTTGGGGAGGAGGTGGGGGGGCTTCTCAAGGGGCCGGTGCATGTCTGACAGCCCTGTGTCTCCAGGCTGCGGAGGTGATGTGCTATACCAGCCTGCAGCTGAGACCTCCTCAGGGCCGGATGCCCAGCCCGGGCACCCCCATCAAGTACTCCGAGGTGGTGCTGGATTCGGAGCCGCAGCCCCAGGCCCCGAGCCCCGAGCTGGAGCTCTACGCCTCGGTGTGTGCCCAGACCCGCAGGCCGCGGGCCTCCTTCCCAGACCAGGCCTACGCCAACAGCCAGCCTGAGCCCAGCTGAGGAAGGGCCCGGAGCAGCGGGGCATGCATCGCTCTAGCCTCCTGTTGCAGGGGTCACTGCTCCCCCGTCCCGAATGTGACTGTTTCCCAGCCACCCCTCCAAAGACAGGAGGCTCCTGTTCCCTCAAAGGAGGTAACGCGGGGGAACTTGTATCTGAGCTGTGAGGAAGACAGCTCAGGGGGATGGCAGATTCCGCTGGTTGAGGATGGAGGAAGCCAAGACGGCGCCCGCTCCCATCTCTCTCTTTTTTATTTCTATCTGGTCCTCTCAGTCCCCAACTCGCAGGCTGCACCGACTCTGCTTCTGGGGCAGAGGAGCCTCTCCACTCTGCTCCCCTCTACCCCCGACGCCTCAGTTTCCTCAGACGCAGGAAGTGGGCAGTGGGGGAGGGGATGAGCGCCTGAGAGGACCTGCGTGGGTATGTGGGTGCGTTCCCGGGAGCCCCCTGGCTTGGGGGGGTCCTGGAACCTAGTACCCAAGGAACCCAGGCCTGACTTCCGACCCGGGAGCCCTCGCAGGAGAGCACGTCTCCACTGTGTCGCATCTCTTGTGTCCCCAAGTTTTCAAATAAACTTCTCAAAGCGTATTTAAATTTTACCTACAAGGAGGCTACAGACCTGCAACAGGCCCCACTTGGGGGGGTGGCCAACTTCGCTGTCTGAACAGACCATTTCTAGGGGCTTCCATGTCCGGGAGGTGGGGGCCGGCGAAGAGGGGCCGCCACATCAGCCTCGAGGGGGCGGGTTCTGGGGTTGAGGGCTGGAACCCGCTCCTCCCCACCTGGTTGTCAGAACTGGGCACACCCGCTCCCACTGCCAGGGCCCCCGGGCTCATCAGCCCCCGACCTCTCCCCAGGGCTCTGCAACTGCAGGGCCCCCCTCACTGCCCAAGCGCTGGGCCCCCTCCCCTGGCGCCTCTGTAGAGGCACGTGCGGGCTTGACAGAATTTTTTGAGGTCTGAGCAGGCAGCAGGGGGAAGCTGAGGCTTTTACTTCCAGATTTCTTTCCACTCAGAGCGCCAGAGACTACCCCAGAGGGGGGACCCCTGAACCCGGGGTGTTCCCAACGAGAAGGGAGACACTCCCCTCCACCCACAGAATAACCAGCGCCCCGGGGTTCCTGGATCCCAGGCCCCTCACCGAGGCCTCCCCAGGAGGCCCGGATAGCGGCGGCGGGGCTGCGCGGGAGGGAGGGGGCTTTGGGGGCGGGCACCGGATGCGGGGAACCACCGGCAGCGGGATGTGGGGTTCTGAGAGGTTCAAGGTGTCGGTGGCTTGGGGGATGTGAGTGCTTCACTCTGGAAGAGATGGCGGCTGAGGCCCCGCCCACCCGTTGGGATGAGGCAATTGCTGAGAACGCAAACGCCAAATTGAGGCCGCGGCAGCCAGACCCCCCCACAACCGCCCCCCCACCCCCACCCCGCCCCGCTCCCGCCGCAGGCCCGCGCGGCGCGGGCTCCTCAGCCCGCCGAGGCCCAGCCCCCACGGTCCCCGCTGGCCGCCGTGGCCGCGCCCTCACCTCTGCGCATGCGTCGTGCTGCCGGGCCCGCGGCCTGCTGGGAGCTGTAGTCCCGCCGCTTGGGGTCGCCTCCCGAGTGGGGCCCGGGGGAGCCCAGCCCCAGCCGGTAGCTTCCCGAGACGCCGGCTTCGCCTGTCCGCAAAACGTGTTATATATTCTGTTGTTCATATATTCTTTCGTTCGTATGGAGCTGGGGGTGATCTGAACTTTGTTTTCCCGGCTGTTTCCTTCTCTCATCCCCACAACGCTTTAAAAAAAAAAGATTATTTATGCATACAAGAGCGGGGGTACAGGCCAGAGATGGGGGGGCGGTGGTGGTGAGAGGAGTCACCAGAGACAGAGTGGGGAACAGAACAGGCAGGCTGACTGAGATGCACTGAGGGGAGCAGCGGGCGAGACGGGAGAGGTCTGCTGTGCCATGTGGGTAGCTCCCTGGCTGGCCAGGGATCGACTCTTGCTGCAGAGGCTGCGGACAGCTTCACAGTGCTGTGCTTAACCCCCTGCGCCACCAGGGAGGCCCCCCGCCCCCACAACGCTTTTACTTGCCTTTTCTCTGTAGCACCGAGGCTGCACCATGGCCTGGCCCTCACTCGTGAGGCAATATCCTAATTGAGGCAGCTGCCCAGAAGAAGACAAAGTTGGGGCAGCCGGATCCGCCTCTTTAACACCTGTGAGGACTCGCCTTGTGGCACCTCCTCCCAACCAAACAGTCGGTAGTTTTCCCCTTTCCATAGGTCCAGGTGATTTCCTTAGCGGCTTCCCTCTTAATTGATGATCTCAGCCCTGTCGGGGTAAATTCTCTTAGGGGAAGCCACCAGGGCCTTCTTGGGCCCCAGCTTCCCCCCTCTTCCTGACGTCCCAGCAAGAAGGATGGGGATAACCGCAAGACCCAAGGGCCAGTGCTAGGAAATACTAACAGGTGACGGTGGCGTCCCAAGCTGTCCAGCCAAGGCCTTGCTCTGCACTCTGTCAAGATGAGTCTAAACTTCCAAGCTGATTTTGGCTATGAGGAGGGAATCAGTGCTGGGACATGGAGAGAGACCACATCTAATTTATTTCATTTGAAACCTTGGCTCCAGCCTTACAGACCTGCTTCTGCCTCTGTCTCTTGGACCTTTCATTTCTCTAAGCCAATCAATTTCCTTTTTTGCTAAATCAGTCTAAGTTACATTTTCTGTCTCTTCCAACCGCGAGTTCTGACTAATCCTGTGGGGAAAGACCAGCCAATTGAAGATGCTGAACCTCTGGGATATTTCCCTATTGCTCAACTTCTCCACCAGCCACCCTCCTCTGACCTAAAATGTCCTAAAATGCCATTTGGGGCTAAGATATGTCTCTTTAATTTGTGAGTTAACCTGGTCTCTTGCCAAGCTTTAAAATTTCTAGAATTATATAACTGGAAGGCGGCTGACAGATCTGGCCCAAACTTATCCTCTTCAGGAACCACCCTGTTATCTTCTTGAACACATCCAGAGATAGGCAGCTCACTACTTTGCCACACATTTGCTTGCAATCTTTCTTATTGATAGAAAAAAAAATTGTAGCTAAATTCTGCCTCCCGTTTTACTTTTGTCACTGAGTCTACCTCCTGAGCTACAATCAGACCATCAATACTTTTTCTCCTGTATGTGCCAGCTCTGGAGGAATTGGGAGGCTGATGGATAGCCTAAGTCCTTGTTTTTCTTCCTAGGAAAACATTCTAAAGTTCCCTTGCAGTTCTTTTACTGACTTCACTTGTAACATACTCATCATTCCCAATGTTTTGCTTGATCAGAGTCCTCTTAAAATGTGATGCTGGGCACCTGCACTCCTATGCTTATAGTAGCACTATTTACAATAGCTAAGCTATGGAAACAACCCAAATGCCCAAAAATAGATGACTGAATCAAGAAGATGTGGTACATAAACACAATGGAATATTACTCACTAATCAAAAGAGATAAACTCATGCCATTTGCAGCAACATGGATGGAGCTGGAAGGGATCATGCTCAACGAAATAAGCCAGAAAGAAAAAGAAAAATACCAGATGGTCTCACTCATAGCAGGAATTTAGAAAACCTAAATAAGGAACCAGGAAAAAGACTAATTATAATAAAGTAAAAATCAAAATCAACAAGCAACTATAAACCAGAGACACACTATGGGGGAGGGGAGAGAAGGAGGGATTAGGGTCAAAATAAGGGGGCTGGGAATTGTATGGGGACTATAACCAAGATGAAAATGCAGACATTGTGCAAAAATGAAAAATGATGTAAAAATATATAAAATAATAAAATGTGATGCTAAGAAGTGGATATAGTATTGACAGCAAATGGGGTAGGGGAGGCATCTCTTGATTGGATATTGAATCTTCCAGGCCTTTGTAAGGAATGCACCCATTTAGCCTGGTTTAAGTAAAGGACACTAAATTAGGCCAAATGGAATGGGAACCCTACAGTAGAGGTTGTGGTATAAATGGGACTTTGCAGATTGTGTTGGGTCTTAGATGGTGGCCTTCCTGGGACCTTGGTGACAGGAGTATTTGGGTCTTCACACTCCTACTCCTTTAGTCCCAATGACAGATACACTTTGTCTCTATTTTTATATTAATTCCCCAAGTTTCCCCCACTTTGCTGAATTGCTTCCCCATTCTTTATCATATATTCTCTTGTTCGTGTTTCTGCTTCCTCTCAACAGTGTCATATTTCCTCCTGTGTCTCCATGACCTCAGTTAAATGTTTACTAACAGGAATAGTATGAGTGCATAGTTAGAAGAAAAGAAAATGATAGAACTGAAGGGTGTACAACAGTGGATCTCAACCAGAAGCAATCTTGCCCTCAAGGAGACTTTTTTGATTGTCATTATTTGGGAGGGAGTACTATTGGTATATAGTGGGCAGAGGCCAGGGATGCTGCTAAACATTCTACAATAACAGTTCAGCTATTTGCAACAAAAAAATTCTGGCTCTGAATGTTAGAAGTGCCAAGGTTGAGAAATCCCAGTATTGGGGGAAAAAGCATAAAAGATAATTCCCCCATCCCATTACTACTCCTGGTTGTAGTTCCCACAGGCACCTACTGAGAGTGGCTTTTGTTTTTAAGCCTTTGGTGATTATCACTGTGTCAGTTTTCCCTAGACTACTCAGAGTGAAGGGACTCTGGGCAGATGGCAACCTTGGCGAGGCCCTCCCTTCTACCCGCTCTGATGATTCCCAGCTGTAGGTGAGGAACTTTAAGTGGGCTCCCAGAGCTTCTGTCAGAGAGAATTCCCTGCAGACAGGTATCTGGAGTAAGTAGAGCCTCTGAACCCAGAGCAAGGAAGCAAGTTCCAGAAACAGCCTGCTTCTCAGGAACAATCAGAGACTTTTCTGGGCCTAGTCCCTCCCTAGTCCTTGAGGCCAGAAGAATGCAGACAAACCCAGAGAAAACGGGACCTGCCAAAAAAGAGGACTCTTTGGAGGGAAAAAAAGGGCACCTGGAGGAGACATGTATGAAGCACACA